AAAAAAAAAAAAAAAAAAAGAGAGATGGGATTTCACTCTGTCACCCACACTGAGGAGTAGTGGCCCAATCATTGTGCATTATAGCCTTGAACTCATGGGCTCAAGGGATCTCTGAATAGCTGGGACTATAGGCTTCCCCCAGCATGCCTAGCTCATTTTTTCAATTTTTCAGAGAAGAACATTTGTTATATTGCCCAAGCTGGTCACAAACTCCTGGCCTCAACTGATCCTCCTGCTTCAACCTCCCAAATTGCTGAGATTACAGGCTTGGGCCACCAGCCTGGGCTCATTGTTTTTAATTTGCAATTTCCTAGTGACTATGGTATTGAGCAATTTTTTCAATTGCTTAATAAGACACTTGTCTTAGTGTCTTCTTTGGTGAGGTGTCTTTTCACTTTTAAACTAGGTTGTTTCTCTTCCCATTGTTGAGTTTTAAAAGTCTTCTGTATATTTTGAATAATAGTCTTTTATCCCATCCATCTCTTGCAAGTATTTTCTCCTAGTCTGTGTCTTGTCTTTTCATTCTCCTGATGGCCTGGGCCAGCTAAACAACAATGACAACTGCCAACAAAAAAACGCTGTGCATTATGGCAGATGCCTGTAGTCCCAGCTACTTGGGAGGCTGAGGCAAGAGAATCATTTAAGCTCAAGAGTTTGAGGTTGCTGTGAGCTGTGACGCCATGGCGCCCTACCAAGGGTGATAACTTGAGACTGTCTCAAAAAAAAAAAAAAAGAAAAGAAAAGAAAAAAGAAAAGACACAGTGTGATACATGTAAGTGCAATGACAGAGTGTGCACCAACTCCACCTGGGAGGTGTCAGGAAAAGGAAAATCAAGAAAACTTAACAGTGGCCCACAATAGCAGTCGTCAGCCACATGGGTAATAATAAAACCTAGGTCTGTAAACTCAAGCTGACTTCTTGCCTGTATAACTAGGGTTTGTTAAACATGACAGGTACTGGTTAGAAACCTGTTTATTAGATGTAGAACAAAGACAGGCTGGGCATGGTGCCAGGAACTACAGTCCCAGCTACTTGGGAGGCCAAAATGGGAGGATCCCTTCAATGCAGGAGTCAAGGGTGCAATGAGCTATGATGGCACCATTATACTAATGCCTGGGTAACAGACCAAGACGCCATCTCTTAAAAACAAC